ATAGAGAACAGTATGGCTAATATGCATTGTGATGTTAGGATGTAAGGGGTTAAAGCCTCTTTAAAAAAACAGTGGTCTTCTTCTCAGTCTCTGAACAATTATGTCCAGGTTAGTACACAGTTCCCTCAAACGAATGATTTCGTCTATAAATTTTGCAATGATTGCTTGGCTAGTCGTTGTAGTCAGGATAAATCCAGGAAAAACAAATCCATGTTCCAATCTTCTCGATGCTTTTCAAATAAACATCAAAGCCCTGTTCCTTACATTTTGCTGTTTCTCAAAAACAAAAACAAAAAAAAAAAGAAAAGAGCCTTGTCCCTAACAAGCGCCCTGTTTCGAGTCAGCGCCCTTTCTTGAAGTACCAAAAGTAAGTAAGCGCCTGGGCGCTAAATCGAATCATTGCGGCATGACGATGATAACGATGATAGCACTAGTATTTAAGATACTAATAATAATAATGATGATGATGATGATGATGATGATGAAATTCGTTGACGAATCAAGCCACCTAGTACGCTTGTTATGTGACAAGCAAACTGTATGTTGCTAGAATAATTATCTCCAATGTCTTGTGCATTAGTGTGTCATTAAGATTCTGTTGATGCCTTTTATTTTTCTTTATCCTTGCTAGGGGAAGAGTCTCCGATTTTCTGGATATGAGATAGCTTACACATTCATTGGTATAAGAAAATGAATTTGATGTCACACAGTATCTTAAATGCAAATCTTCTGTTTGTTCCTTTGTTCGTTTGAATGATCGACATCAGTATCTGGGCAATTGCCACCTACCCCTCCCCGAACCTAACAACAGTCAACTGATAACAAGTTAGGGTTAATGTTGGGTTAGGGGAGGGGTGGGGGCGCAATTTCTTAGATACTGACATTGACCCTGTTTGAACATGATACAGATGTACTGAAGAAATACGCAATAGTAGGGATTAGAAATTCTGAGAATAAAATTACGTGGTCCTTTAAGAGGGCTATTTAACGTTTTTTCCCCAGTAACTTTTATTCCCCTACAGAGTTGTCGCGTTTGAGTGAATGTTTACTGTAGATTCATGAAACGACACCTTTGTGTTTTTGCCAAAACTTGAAGTTGAAGGGATTCAGATTGTTTATGATTTAACTATAGTTGAGAAGCAACGCGGTCGTTAAAGGGAAGTAATAGTATTTCATGAACCTTGTTGATACTATAAGGTGGGCTCGTAATTTCGCAATGCTCTTGGTACAAATGTGATCTCACCATGAAGCTCTTTGATGTTTTATCTTGGTTTTTTTTTCTAGGTTTTGGCACCTTGACAACTTTTCTGTCAACTGTGGCTGCTGTTCTGGTAATTGTTTTCAAATCGAAAGAATTGCTTACCCCAGAATTATGGAAACACTTGAAAGAAACCGGAATTGCTTTTTTGTAAGTTTTACCGATGTATATGTTGTATCGATTTGAATGTTAAGAATGAGAGTCATATGACTCCAACACATTGTTGTCGTATGGTTATTGTGATCGTTGCGGGCGTACTGCGTAAAAGGCGGGAAAACACAAGTGATCAAATCACGATTCGTTCAAGTTTTGAATATGATTGGTTGAGAAGGTGGCTCGAGCTTTCTGGACCAATCACACGGCGAAGTTAAGCAAAATCACAGCAATCATCGATTACTTTCGACACTCAATTGAAAAATACTCTACTACATGTAGAATGCAACTCTAAAGATTGTTTAAGCATCAAAACAAGATACAGTAACATATTTGCAGGATCAGGATTTCGTGGCTAAGCTGGTTTCATAATTATAATCATAATTTCATAATTATTGTGAGACTTGAAGGCTTTTCGAAAGACGCAATCTAGTACTCATGGGATGTTGTTTTTACAGACCCACTTTGGCCTTGGCTATTTTTCTGATGTTGTTCCAGTTGTTTCTGACACATTTCGTCTTCCGTGACTCGACTTATCCAAACATCACTGTCACAATTGATAACAGGTATTGTTGTATATCAGTCTGAGCTGAATCTCTTGTTGTGTGATACGCACGCCCTGAACAACTGATCTACTCATGACAAACACGTGTAGGCGTTTTTTTTCAAATTCTCGAACTTGATTGGTTATCACCAGCCTGAATTGAACACTAATAGGACGGTGTACGCGTCACGATTGGACAGTGTAATAGGACAGTTAAAGGGACAGTTAAAGGGACAGTTAAAGGGACAGTTTACACGTCATGCCAGGGTAAGTGGACACAACGCGTCATGTACTGTTGTCTCGCATTTTACCGAGTCAAGTGTTGCTTTTTTTTTCTTTTTCTCTTTTTAATGAAAACGTACAACCACAACCGATCTCTAGTTTCTTTCTCAAATTTTGTTACGACTACAGACCGAATTGGACTCCGCTCGGTCCTATTTGGCTGCTGATGACCAATGGCGTAGCAAATTTTATTATTGTGTTGATTGGATATGTCATATGCTATTGTATGTTTAGTGGTCAACTCACGCCTCGCCGAGAGAACGTTCAATACAAAGCTGCGGTAGATTAATTGAACGTCGACGCAAAAACTCATCGACAGAGACGTCTCTGATGAGAAGATTTTTGGCATATATCTACATTGTTATCATTGTATGTGTGTTTATTGTTGTTGTTGATGTTGTTGTAGTGGTGGTGGGTGTTGTTGTTTTCGTTGCTGTGATTGTTGTTGTTATTGCTGTAGTTGTAGTTGTTGGTTTGTTGTGTGTTGCATACAGGTTAATTAGTAATTCTCCCAGATTCACATCTTGCCTATGGGTCACGAAGCTTAAAATACTCAGCCCGTATCGTTTACACTTTATTTTTGGTCTCTTTCTCTCTCTTTCAGGCGGCTATTCTATAAAAAAAAGGTCCTATTTCAGGCGGCTATTTGATAAAAAATGGGTCCTATTGAGAAGAAACTTACGATGCGAGCTATGTTCGGTTGGTTACTATTCATTTCATATCCATTCTGTGGTCACGCGGGAATATTGAAAGTTAGCCTTTCTTTTTTGCCACTTTGCACAGTTTTTTGAGGAACTAAAACGTATCTGACTGACAGTTACTTTTCAAGCCAACCATCAAAAAGATGATTGCATTCTGAGTGATATAGAACAGTTTTAAGTCTTTTATGAGGAGAAAAAGAAACATCCCTACGCGTGTAATCTTTTTTTCACCTTGAGTCTGAAGTGCTTAAACATTCCGTTCTTAACGTTAAAATTGCTTTTCAAGTAGCGTGTTTTAAGGCATCTATTTTGTCGCTGGATCTCCGTCAGAGCCTGTATATTGTAGGTTTGGCATCGAGGCAGGACGCTCTGAAGCTTTGTAATATTTGTTTTAAATGACTTTTCGTTGCCATTCCAAAACAGTAGTGAAGGAAAAAAAAAATTTTGTCTCTCTTCTTAGCCAAAGTAGGAAAGAAATTTCTCTTTTTTTGGCCTATTGCTATGATTCCTTTGTTGTCATGAACTAATTTTTTGAAGGGTAATTAACTTGTAATGCTCGATGAAGTCCCTCCAGATCTGGTCCAAACCTCTCAAACGCAGCTTATATTGCCGTTCCTTTCTCTTTGTCTTTCAGGCTTTAGTCGGGAGCCCCATCAGCCGCGCATATCTCAAAAGGCTGTCAACCGCTGGTTCCTGGCCGTGACTCTCCTACGCAACCCATCTTTCATCAAGTACCGCCGCCAAGGCCGCCATTTCACGGCATCTGTTGTGACTCTCGGAAGCGTCAACTTTGACGTTCCGCTGTAGAACTTTGAGACTAACTCAAATGGATTCTAAATATTGATTAATTTTCTTTGGTACATTTGAATTTGATGGTTTTTTTAAAAGATAATATATCAGGTATTGGAAAGTAATATATACAAAAAGAGCAAGCAGTTTACGTTAGGCTAAAAGCCAAGTATATAGGAAGGAAACAAAGAGAAAAATAATAAATGAATGTTGCGGTTCGCTTGGGCGTTTTAAGCGGAAGTGTTTTGTTTTTTTATTTTTTTGTTTGTTTGATTTTTTGTTTGTTTTTTGTTATTGTTGTTGTTTTTTTTCCTTTAATTATTATGAAAGTAAGAAAAGTAAAAGTTGGCGCACAATACCAAATAATGTTGTGAATTAATGAGGTCCGTGATTAGGGGAAAGACTTGGGAAGGAAGGTGTGGGTTTGGAACTGAGGAGCAAAGAACCAGCGGTAAGAAAGAATACGTAGCTAGTTGACAGACAGCTGTGGGCATTAACTACACGAGTGTTTTGGCGAAGGCCGATTTCTTTCATACGTGCGAATATATTCATATACAATTAGCGAACTCCAACATCGTGAAGACCTCTGATCTTTCTCGGAAAAAAATTAGCGGAAGTGGAAAGTGAGGTGGAAGTGAAATATTGGATTAGTGGGATTACCGCCGAAACTGGATTTCATTCAATTTTGCCAGCTCGTTTTTATCCGGGCGGGAATCCCGGCCGAAATTCCGCTGGCACCCTGGTAGAAATCTCCTCACTGGTATCTCGAGAGAGATCCCAACAGTTGATCCGTGGGAATCTCGGCGGGAACTTGTGAAAATCCCGACGCACACTCCAGAGGGTAATGCCATCAGGGAACTCGTCCCTTTGTCTTACAATGAACCCTTTCATTCTTTCATGGATTTACCAAGACGGTACAATCGAGCAACCGTTTTTAACCCGTAACTGAGTGTTATCATCATTTACTACAGGTTAACAACAAAAGACAAGAAAACAACATTTTAAACCATAATTTATCATTTTAATGTTAAGCTTATTTTAAAAAATCGCTCAAAAATGTATAGAATAACCTCAACAAAATGATGATGCAGCGTAAAAAAACAATAAATTAGAAATCTAACAGTTAGACCTTGGTAACTCTTTCAGGTATACTGAAAAAAATGACAAATGATGGTAACCTTTTTTCTTTTATTTTTTTTGTCAACAGTATTTACACTAGTGATTAGTGCTATATCTCATTTGAAAGAGGACAAAATTAGCTTTTCAGAAAAATATATTTAGCCTCCAAAAATCCATGGATTTTAAATCATGCTAAGAAAATGGCATACAATTTGCATAAATTATTGTACAACTTTTGACTTTGAAACAGCCTGAGCCTGAATGGATTGGAGTAAAAAAGGAAACATTTCTAAGATAAAATATTCCTTATCTTATGGGCAAGACATCCAGAGACTCTGGCTGAAAAAGAACAAATATGGAATTAATTAGAATTTTTTTCCAAACTGTACCCCAAAACCATAAAAATTGACCCAGATTATTGAAAAATACCAAGTAAAAATCACCAAGTATTTACACAAGGGAAGTAAGCTATACCTCACTTGAAACAGCAGTAAATAAGCTTTCCTGAAATGCATGTTTCCTCTCCAAGAAAAGGAAACAACCTCATTGAATGCCTTCAAACTAACATTAATTAGCATAAAATATCATCTAAATTTGAACTGTGAATTAAGTGATACCCAAATAATACAAAGTATTTTATAAGGCAAAAAGTAACTTAAGAGGTTCCTTGTTATATGGGATACATCTCCATAAAAAATTGGTTAGAAGATAACAAATCTGAGACCTGTTACACATATCTTGTGAACACTGATTGACACACTGACTAATTAGTCTGACCTCATCATCACCCCAAGCCCAAATTTACTAATCCCTCTTGAAGTCTACAGTGCAATCATTGGAACTATATTTCTTTGTTTGACTTCTGAAATTTTGCCCTGAAACAGGGACAAATGCGATAATCAACCTCAAAATACATAAAGCGCAACATATATCAAAAGCCTTTCACATGCAATACACCACCAGTATTTTCAAGAGTAAACAATTCAGAAGTGAAATGCCCAAATTTACTAATCCCTCTTGAAGTCTCCAGTGCAACCATTGGAACTATTGTTCTTTGTTTGAAGATTGACGTACGGACTAATTAGTCTGACCTTATCTTATCATCACCCCAAGCCCAAATTTACTAATCCCTCTTGAAGTCTACAGTGCAACCATTGGAACTATATTTCTTTGTTTGACTTCTGAAATTTTGCCTTGAAACAGGGAAAAATGCGATAATCAACCTCAAAATACATAAAGCGCAATATATATCAAAAGCCTTTCACTCGCAATGCACGACCAGTATTTTCAAGAGTAAACAATTCAGAAGTGAAACCGGAAACTGTCATTTTTTTTTTCATTCCACTCATTCTCGAGCATAATTTGTTTGTTTTGTGAATTTTCAGCATGTAACAAGTAGAACCACATCTAAAAAACACACAAAACATATAAGATAATGTACAGTTCGATATATATTCAACTATCGTTTTAAAAATAAAAGATTTTATTTGATTTAGTTCGGACGCACACTGCGTCATATCTGTCATCGGCTGATAATTTAGGCCGTTGCGTTCTAACATTCCATTGAAGATTATTTACTCTGTCCCTTAAAAATCAAGTTTGATCACAATATATATTGCTTTACATTCACAAATATAAACTTACAGGTTTGTCTCAAGGCAAAAAACAAGGATTTGTGCGCGAAAAGTAAAAGTAAATGTTTCAACTCAACATGCGTCACGCAATTAAATATCGCAAAAACGTTTACAGATTACTTACCTCGATTCTTCGCTAGGATTTTCCAGTTTTCTATCTAATTCGAATTCCTCACCACTAGAAATACCACCATGCTCACTTCCATCGTCAAAAATCACCTCTAAAGGCTTAGCTACGCTGCATCTCTAGCGTTTCGCATCGGACGCCACTATCGCAGACTGAAATCGTACGCAAATAATTTTCGGATCGGGCTCCCGAGGTCACGTTTGATAGTTCGGAGCTAAAATTCCCCATGTGATTGGCTTAGAATGTTTACATGCTACAGCCGAAATTTTAGAGCGATCGGATGTAATCCGAGCCTTTCCGAAAAGGTCAACGTCTTCGTGCAATTTTGCACGATTTGCCAAAGGGCTGACCGGAAAGAGACCAGCAAATCACTTGCGTAGTTTATTATATAATATTTGTCAGATACAAACAGTCCTGAGAAGAAAGATAATCGGCAATGCGTTGAGGACATTTGAACTCTAAATACTACCACTGATTTTGGGAGACGAACGTAGGATGAATTTTACTTCAGAGACAATTCGTTTTTTTATTCGAGTGGTTCCACCCTAATTGACCGTTCCATACAACCCCAACAGGCAGATGGGATTCAGTTAGGGATGACCACAACTGCTTAATAGAGACCACCGCTGAAAAGTGGTGAAAGTGACAATGCATAAGAAAAAAAAATGCGAGAATTTTTTTCACCGACCGCTTGATACAGGTTCGACTATTAATTCCGAATTGCTGGTTTTCAGTGTCACGCCATTCAAACTAGATCAAAATAAAAAATAAAAACCGTTCAATCGATTTAGTCTAGAATCTGGAAATAGAAAGAAGCTAGATATGTAAAGACTCTCGCCAAGATTCAGGTCACAGCAATTTTTCTTACGGAAGATATGAGGAGAAACGTTTTTCCCAAATTTATAGAGATTTGTATGGAGCCGCCATGCTGGTGCCCACCTAGATGGGCACCAACATGGCGGCCGGAAACCAGCAGAAACATCTGTCACTGAGTTTTGCTACAAAAGCGTGAATTTATCTCTCTAAGAACTCATAAACGTAACAATAATACTTTATTCTAATACAAGAACTGTTCAGATAGCTGAATTTCCCTAAATAAGTCACCTTTTAAACCAACATAACAGCTCTCTCGCTCGTCATGTAAAGGCCACGTCACGCAAAAGCTTAGAAATTCAAGAGTAGTCTATCACTAAACCAAGAACCCATTTGGAGTGAAAATTTGTCTGAATATTAGTTTTTAGCTGCTCTAATACATCATGAAAGTAAAATCTCAGGAGGATCAATAGTTCTGAAGTCTGAAATTTAGTGACGTCACGTGAAAACCAGCAATAAGCCAATCAGCCCACGCGAAGACCTCTATCCACCTGTGTGGTATATACTTAGAACCGCTGTAGGGTGGGTAGATGGAGCAGGGTTATGAAGCAGAGAAGAAGAGAAAGTCGAAGAAGACGAAAGCAGCCTAAGTACACCATTTACTCAGGGAAATTCTTATCTTTACCTTCTGAAATCGTAGCTCTAAGATTTTTGAGAACCCCACCTGTGATGCTACCCTTGAAAACACGAAGCTATTCACACTCCCAGCCCGGGGGATAAATGGAAACTCGACCCACCCCTCCCCCCTCCCCATGGCTCTTTTTCGTAAATGATTGTAATCTATGTTATCGTCAGCAGCGAACTCCTGCTAAAACATTTACGTTTTCGCAGTTTTAGATCTGGGGTAAAGGAAAAATATCAGGGCTTACTAACTTTTCGGATTCGGTACAAGGTCTTTAAAAGGGGGAAGTAGATTTATCCTTGCTCGCCCTCACCTCGATGAATATCTCGCGTTAGCTTCATTAAGTATCTCAGATTGAACATAACAGGAATGCGTAGCGACAACGCTCTCCCAATGACCGTCTCTCCCAGGTTGATCCTTACGTTCACGATTACGTTTTACGATTTTTCCACGACTTTTCCCGGTTTTCCTTACTCCTCAGAAACCAGAACTCTAAATTCGAGTTGCAAATTCCACCTTCTAAAACCGTTTTTATCTCACATCTTGTATGTCCCCCAGTCGAGGGTCTCCATGGGGTTAACCGTTAGCCGTATATCGGTCAAAAAACTAGCTGTTAGGCGTAAATATTGACAAATTTTAACCCTTAGTTGCAGACGAAAATTAACCTTAACAATATTTCCTTCCTACAATGTGTTATTTTGTGTTATTCTGGGTTAACCTTAGCAGAAAAATGGCCACAACTTCAGCCGTTAGCCGTAAAAAGCTAAGTTTGCAATCGTGGAAAAAAACTTCATCAATATTTTCTACACTCGAGGAACCACACCGACCAAGGGTACCCCCTATGATAAGGACGCTTTCGATAAAAGAGATTAAAGCTCCATCTCCCAAAGTGGAACGAAAATTAACTTTAATAATATTTCCTTCCTACAATGTGTTATTTTGTGTTATTCTGGGTTAACCTTAGCAGAAAAATGGCCACAACTTCAGCCGTTAGCCGTAAAAAGCTAAGTTTGCAATCGTGGAATAAAACTTCATCAATATTTTCTACACTCGAGGAACCACACCGACCAAGGGTACCCCCTATGATGAGGACGCTTTCGATAAAGAGATTAAAGCTCCATCTCCCAAAGTGGAAGGTAATTAATTTTTCCTTGCCTCTTCAACGATATATGGCAAAATATCATAACTGTCGCATTACATGCAAGAGGAGCACGTTGCATGACGCCTACCAGTGAAACTAGAAGATATAAAATCTGAAAACGTCGAGGTTCATATCTCACTTAATAACTCTATCCAAGGAAATGAGAAAAGTTGAGCAAATTAGACGCAGGTGCGAACACTACTTCAAACGACAAGATGTGACAAAACAGTCTCTGCCGCATAACGAACTAAAGAAGTGCGTCGCGTGACATCCTCAGAAACGGCTGCCAGTGATCGATATTAGTAGTTATAGAGTCAGAAAATATGCGAGGTTTATCTCTCATTCAATTCACCTATTGAAAGGAATGGGCAAAAGTTATTAAGCGAATGAGACATAGGCCCACTCACTACTTCAAACGACAAGGTATGGCTTATGCAGGTAGATGTAGAAATTTTCTTCTCCTTGTTATCGACTTCTTCTTCCATCCTAACAAAATGCCAAGCGTTTTGTTTCATTGTTTGACATTCAAATGTTTCTTTATTGTACTCAGATAATAGGTAAACAATCTAATCGGACAAACTAAATAAAATCATTTGGCTCCAACTTTATAGCTCGTTCTGAGCTTCTCTTAATGTTTTGTAGGCCAGTAACTAAAATTAAAATGACACTTCTCGTTTTGACTTTGGATGATTAATTTAAAACAATATTCTTAAAATGCATTGTGTAAAAAATAACACAATTTATCGCATTCAAAATTAAAGGAGGAATCTCAGAAAACTAACTTATATCAAGACTAAACCCTGGCAATTAAGGCCAAAATCTGTCATTTTAAGTCCAGATAAACCAAATTCTGATCGGCAAAACCTAACTTTCAGTACCAATGACTGGTTGCAAATCCTCGAAAAGTTAATGACAATTTTCATCTGACATAAACTAAGATAATCGAGCCATCGGACAACTGATTATTCTCCAATTTCCATAGGAATTCTCCACACATGCATATGGCTGTAACAGCTTTACATCACTCCTGAGACAAAAACTGATTGAAAAAATCTGTAAAAAACTGTAAAAAACGTTTTCAAGATGTTTCGACTTCGACGTAAACGTAACGTCTTAATTCTCTCAGTAGGTTGTACTTAGATTAAAAATAAATTTTTACATAGCTAGTCATGATAATTTCAAGACATCATATGAAAAAAAAACCAGTAGTTTCAGCAGGATATCAAATATCAAGCTCTTAAGAGCAGTTCAGACAAACAAAAAGTCAACTTTTGAATCAGTTCTCTTGTCGAACTTGAGTTTGGCCGTCATTTGGTTCGTCCTGCTTTGAAAAGAAGACTCTTGACAAATATTTCATCGGTAGCTTACTGGTTTATGGTCCAAATATCTGCGTTTGCAGGTATCCTAAAACTCCCTGGGATTCCAATGCTCACTGCCTTAACTGAAAAATAAAAGAATCTAAGTTTAGGGAGGATAGTTGAGTTGCCATGAAATATTTCTTAGTACTCCAAATGATACATTGCACAACAGGATTGTTTTAAAAAATTTGCTTTTTTACTCCTATCAGGTTTCCAGAAAGAATGTTACCATTGTAAACGTGTCCTCTTGATTCTACTGCATCTCAATTTGCCAGAGCAAAAGATTAATTCGTAACCCAACTGAAACATATAAGCAATAATTATGATTTAATGTAACTTTGTATTGAATAGAATGTGTAAACAGAATATTTACTTCCTCCAGCTTCGAAATATCCTTGAAATCCAGGTTGACGTCGTCACCAATGAGTACAAATGGTGCCCAGTAAATCACCTCCTTGAACTTTTCAATTTCTCTCATACACTTCATGGCCTGATTGAGAGCTTCACTTGCCTTCTTGCCTTTGGCAAGTGCATCGTAGAAGAAACTCATGAACTCCAGGGTTCCCTCGTCGCCAAGCGCCCACAAGGTTACCACAACAGATCTGGCACCGGCACCCAAAAGTGCACGCGCCATGCCGACCACACCCTCGGCCATGACCTTTCCACGAGCAGTGTGACAGCAGCTAAGTACAACCAGACGTGCTCGCAACCCAGCTTCTATGACATCTTTCATCGTCAGTAGATAATCTTTCTCTTGCGGCTGAGGGTTATCTCTTGTGGTGTTTGGTGCCAGGATAACTTCTCCTGTTTCCTTTTTACCGTGCGCTGCAATATGAACTAACGCCACTGATGATATTCGTTTTAACACTTCATGTTTTGTTGCCATTTCTCCAGTAAGGGGGGAAACATTGAGGATACGTTCGATCATCTTCACTTCTTTCCTTGCTCCTGGAAGTTGCTCCAAGAGTTTTCCCTCAGAGATGATGTGTTTGAAACATGGGTCGCCGACAAGTAATGCACCAGTCTTCATGTGAAAGTCAGCTGGACAGTCATGAATTAGTTGCAACGTCGTCAGAGAGGGAAGCACACGAATTCTGAAAGAATCACTTAGATATGATGAGTTGGAGTCCTGCAACGCTGCAAAAGGCACAAGGCAAAATTGCCCCTCAGGAACGAATGTTATCTCGTTGCCTTCGATCAGGTCAGCAATAGGAGCGACAATGATGTCATGCAGCTTCTTTAAAGCACTTGATTGGGAGTGCCTCACATCAACTCGGATCACATCATCGGCCATTTTCTTTACTGTCGGCGAATCAGGAGGAAGATTTTCGATTTTAACAGTATCTCTTTCACGGATCTCTTTCAGAACAGTTTCGTTCAGCTGCTGGATGAAACATTCCAATTCATCCTCAAACTTATAATCGTTGACGTGTACCTGCCTCATCTGGATGTTATCGTCACTACGGCGAACCCAGAAGTAAACGCATGGTCCATTAATAGCTATGAAAACTGTGCTCAGTGGAACCCAACTCAGAAAATTAAATGATGTGCTGTAAGTTGAAGAATCTCCAGGCTGATATTTTGTGGCCATTAGATCTCTCAGAGCTTGAGCACGTCCTTCCTCTGCGGCAAGAAGGGAGATACAAAGCTAAAGAAATCTCATCAATAATATGTATTCTTTATGTATCCTTTTTTTTCCAATTTTCATGTCTTTCGATCATAATATGCCGCATATTTCTTCATTATCATTCCTCACTTGAAGAGTACTTGCATTAAATTTAACTCAAATAAAGTTCTTTTCCAAGAAAAACACTTAACTTCTCGTTGTATCTAGAGAAAAGTATATTCAAATCGTTTCGCGTGTTGTATAGAATTAAAGCGAATACCATAAGTATTCTTCTTCAAGAAATATCCGAGGAAGATATTAAAAATTTTTTGAATCTGTGTACTCCATGCATCTTTGTGTACAGAAACCCTCAGTGTATCTTACAGGAATTTTACGAATAAAATGTTACTGAACCAGTTGTCTTTAAGTTGGAAGAGAAATCTGAGGCCTTAGCTCTCTATCTCTTTGAGCTCCAGAATTGTCTGCTGATTTTGGATGCAGTAAGCGAGGCCATAAATAAATGTATAGTAGTTCATACAGACAAGTGACGCACTTGATACTGGAATCAGAAATGCTGCAGCTTCGTAGATCCCTCATGGGAAGATAAATAAGCTACCTCAAGGTCTGGTATGTTTATTTTCATGTCAGCATTAATATTTAATCTGTCGTTTAACCTGATCTAACGGATGGGGTATTCTTTTTCGGTCGTCGGTAAAAAATGATTTTTTCCTTTGTCACGAAAGAGCTTGAAAGTTCCTTTCTAACATTTTGTATTTTAAGACATGAAACTTTCGACATTGATGATCTGAGCAGTATACAGGATGATCCTTTATGTATCCACTGTGTGTCATGGCTCATTAACGAGAAATCTATAACTGTATGTGAGAACTTCAAATCGTAAAATCCGATGGTCTAAGATTCGATCCTGCGTGCGTGACGAGTAAACAAGATCAATATTTCTTTCGTTCTTTTTTCTCTTGTTTCCAATTATTTCTATTTGTATCTTTAGTCAATACCCGTTTATCTCATTCACTGTATTAAGTCGCTATTAACTTATTCTGTCCTCACCTTAACTCCTGTGAAAATGTGATTTGCCCCACGAGTGTGTAACAAAACGGTGTACCTGGTAACACCAGCAGTATTGGAGAAGCTGAATATGAGTTCATCGAACTCGAAACAGAAAGTCATGTATCATTGTTTATTTCGTGATCCACGATTCTATTTTGAAGCTATGCTGTTTCACTATGTATACGCCAGATTTGGACAGGGCGTCATATTACATTTTTCAACTTTTCATTTTCATTAATCCGGAGCATGGCACAATGACATAAACATGCTATTTTTTATTTTATTTTTTGCTCACGTGATGGTCGTTAAACCATCGCATGCTTAGGTTGATTGAAGGGCGCTGGACTGCCATACGAGAGGTCTTGAAAGAACTGAGGGGAATGAGAAACACACATACTGAAAGCATAGTGCAGAAAATTTTCTTATTAAGGACGTAGGCGATTTGTCGGCCTGGAAACGTTACAAATTTTTTAGGAAAAGTTGTATGCATGTACTTATACAAAGTGGTACCTGGATGCACACAAGAGAGACTATTTTCACTAGGTATGATCACCCCATAATACATGTAGGATGCTTACTGGTAAGGAAATTTAAGGCACATAACAAAAGTTTGAATTAAATTTTCTGTGAAGTCATGCTCTTTTGCTAATTGTTGAAAAGGTTTGAAACACCCACTTTTCAGTGCAGGTGATGATGATGGTGTTTGTGTTGTTGGAGATGACACAGATCTTTCACTCAGTTGTGACAAATCACCTTCACACTGATCTTTTCCTTCTTCTCCACAATTGGTGGTTCATAGCTGGTCTCATTGCCTGGTTTTGTTCTGACAAGCTCAAACACACCGTCTTCATCTATTTGTGATGTTCCACATTGCTTAGCCTTAAAGATAAGCACCAAAGTAAAAAAAAAAAAACAACAATAACAACAACAACAACAACAAAGAAACCATAGGTTTCTTGTCAAGTAATGTTTAGCTGCTCAAGGAAGCAAATACGACCTTAAACCAATTAAAAGGTCTCTTAACAAAGAGACATATGACTTCCACAGCAAGAAATATATGTTTATGCTACTGGAGGAAAAAAAAAACCCTCTTTTAAAAGCCATCATGGAATTAATTAGTTTCTACCCTCTGGCTGGTAAGTTTTTCCATTTCTTGTTAGTTTTCTAATATGTTTATATTCATTGTTCTTTTTTTTTTTCCTCTTTTGAACTGTGCATTACAATGTACCTTGGAAAGTTTGCTCTCTCCAGGATCCTGTCCCACCATGACATCACTTGTTTTCTTGCTCACTGATTGGGTAACTTTTCCACGATATCTTTGAATCAAATCAGCAGTCTCCTCTCTCTCAATACTTTCCAAGATTCCCATAATGACAAATGTCAGTCCATCCAAACAGTTTTCCGCACCCTAAAAATTAAATTATTAAGTGCACGCATGATTCAAGATGTGCAGACAAATAATTAATTCTTCCCTTGAAGGCCTCTTAATACTGTCCAAACTGAAAAGTTATAAATGGCAAAAGAGTAAAAGACTCAGTGGATATTTGTCTTGCATCTCATATTAAAATTTGAGAGGATGGAAAACAAACTGTTAACAGCTTTGAGAGATAATAATAATTTAACTAACAGAAGAAATTAACATGTAACTGCTCCCTAGAATATCCATACATTATCCAGCAAACAGGTTATGAGAACACTAAAACTTATCAGGTACACACAGTTGTTATAATGATCTGACAACAAATTCTTGATATTAATTAACAGGAAAACGTCTGGCAGCAAGAGGAGAGAATTAATATCAGATCTTGGACTTTGAAACCAACCTGAGGAATTTCCTTTGAACCAAGTGCCCTAGGACAATCTCTTGCCATAAACCTACAGTAGCCAGACTTTTTCTTTTCCAATGAGGGTGGAATTTCAACCACTTCCTCTGATTTTGACACCTTTGGTGTTTCTTTGATTGGAGTTTCCTTAATGACGTCTTTTTTATCCTTTTTTTGGAGTAACAGTTTCTTTTAACTTGGTTTTGAGTCTCTAACTGGAGTTTCTGGAACTGTAGAAGCTTTGGCAGCCAGTTTGCTAGCAGGAGTTGTCTTTAGTACTTTAGTACTGAAAAGTCCATGGATAAAATTTGAAGTGAAGAAAAGTTACAAGTATATAAAACATTCTAACAGCTAAGAGTTGTCCTAACAAGGTAAGAGTTGTCCCAAATAGGAATGTTGATGATGAAAGACACTGCTGCTTTGAAAAATGGAGACAAAGTGGTAAAATCTTCCTGGATTGTCAAAATTAAAATCACCAAGAATGTACCTGAAAGTTTTTTCACTATTGTTACTATTTTTAGTATACATTCTAGGTACAGTAATGGTAGTATTTTGAGTAGTGTTAGTATTGTAAGTAACGTTTTGTTGCAGGTATTGTTAGTAAAATGCATCTAAGCAAAAACCATCTCCTCTCATAGTAGGACAGGATATATACAACATGCACATTTACCACCAGTTAACAAGTTTTAGTTTTAGTAAACTTTTGGATCTCATACAAAGACAAATTTAGTCATAAAAGGTTACTATTTCATCTACAAGTACCTCATTCAAGTGCTTAATAACACTTGCCATAAACATGAAATCATATCAGATACAATCCGTTCTGGTATCAGGGTAGTATGTTTAAGCATAAATAGTACATGTAATGGTTAATTTTGCAATAATAAAGTATACATGGTAATCAAAAGGCTTACAAACCTTTTTCTTCACGGGAAAAGCTTTTTAACCTCAGCCTTTGACTCTATACATTTCCTATGGTACTGACAAGAAGAATTTGTTTTACAAACAAGAGCTCAGTTGGTGATCACTTCCTTTACTCTCATGACCTTAATGTTTGATTCAAGGATGATATTGTAAAGAGAAATTAGATGCTGGTCACTCTTCACAGTCAAAGGGTGAAATGTATCATCATAAGAGCACTGTCCTATCACAGATCTAACATTCTCAATGCCTGATGGAAGAGAGGAAAAATCAAACAAACAAACAGACAAACAAAATTTAGCCGGATAATTTTAGAAGACGCCAGATTATTCTCCAGAGCAATATCTTTTATTCTAAATGAACACTATGGGTTGGTGCTGAAATGTGAAATATAATGAAAGAGAATGATGGATTATACCTCTCTTTCACTTGCTGGACATTTTCTGTCTGTTTGGCAGATTTTTTTAATTTGCTGGTCACAACTTCTTCCTCATCTGTGGAAACCACATCAAAATATAACTCAAGTGCTATAATATTAAAACCTTTTCAAGACAGAGTGATCTAATGGTAAGTGTGCTAAACCCTGGATGAAGCAGATTTGTTTTCTTTGGCAAGTAAATACATGAGCAAGGTTAAAGGGCAGGTGATGTAAAAAAACTGACCTCATCTTACCACCCTATCCAGCCTTCACACTCCATCAATAAGGAGGGTCCCCTACACTCTTTTGTAGAACTCAGTCACATAGAAATGTTAGGCCTTTCCATGCATCATGAAAAACATTCAAAATTCTTTCAAGACTATCACGTTTTGAAGATAAATAAAACCAAAAAAAGTAAAAAATTATACCAAATTCATATTTTCACTCTTTCTATCCTGTTAATAAAGCTGTTAATCCTATAAAATTAAAAAAAAATTAAAAAAAGATGTTATCACGATTCCCGTGAAGACGAAATCTCCCATCACCTTTCACATAAAAAGTATAAGGTACCCTCAATTAGTGCACATACCAGTAATTTCCTTACCTGAGTCCAAACTGATAATTCTTCAACTTTTCCAAGCTTTTCAACTCTCTTCCTTCTTTACTGATGTGGCTTTTCTGAAAGTGCATGAAAGAGAACAAGATACTAAATACAACCTGACATCAGTATGCATATTCTCCATACTGTTCTCTATGCATTTTCTAAGCTGCTGACAAGGAGAATTTGTTTAATAATCATGAGCTTCTATAGTTGATGATCATTTCCTTGACTCTTGATTCAGGGGTGATACTAAGGTCCAAAACTTTAACTACAACTGTATGAGAGGGGAAAAAAATTCAAGAAACAAATCACATACCTGATTTTTGGAGGAAGAGAGATGTAAGATTAATTTAGAAATAGGGTCAAGACATCATTATGATGTTGTATGTATAATTAGGTGAATCTTTTTACACCATGTTTCCATAATAATGCAAATTGCAGTGGGAATTGACAAGGACACTGTACAGCACAAGTATCTAGCTTACATGTAAATTGAAACCATTAAAACTAATACAGAGGTATGACAGTTTGTATAGAGTCTCAACATCTGTTCCTTTTGAAACTTTTTGTGTTCACCCTAAAACATTACCTGAGTCAATAATGTTTTTCCCTTTCTTCTTCTTCTTCTGATTTTCTTTTGGTTTTTGCTTCTGGGCAATATAATCATCTTCACTGCTTGATAAACCCTGCCCAGCAAATTAACAATTACCTGTTCTTTTATTCACACATTTTACAACCCTGTTAAGGATTTTAAAAAAAAGGCAAAACACTGTAACTTATCAGCCTCACTCAGCTACCCTGACATACTCAGACAAACTACTGAAAATTATACCTACAAAGTTAGTTAACACACAGTACCACACCATTTCTCACATTCCAATCCAGAAAGATACCTTGGGTTAGAAATATGAAGTGGAATGAAACTCTTGGTTAAAACATGTTGTAAAATTACCTACCATGTGCAAAATTAAAGATTCATGACAAAGGAAATTTTACCATGTATGGCAATAAATACCAATTTTGGCCAAATAAGGTGTCCCCCCCCCCCCCATCCCCAGGAGAAGATAGATGGGAATGTGAATTGCACCCGAGTATATAGACACACATGTACATGATGATCGATTCAGTCAGACAGGGGCTGTGATATGGGCAGATCTTTTCTCCGTCACCTCTGAAGTCGAATTCCCTGTTAACACAAATAATTTACTCTCTCAAATGCTACATAATCCATTACTTACCTTGCTTTTCGTTCGACTCTTTCTTACATCTTGCTTCGATAATGACTTCGCAGTAAAATCTTTGCTGCGCTTATTTTCTACTTTCGAAGCGCTTTGCTTCGCTGTCTTTCCTGTAGGACCGAAGAACGATCGAATATCCTGTAGAAAAATATGTAATTATAATTAAAACACCGGTTAAAAGACTGACGCTGAGAACTAAAACAACTAACAAAACATTTTAGTATAGTGAGGTGATAACATCACTCTCCGACATTTCGCGCCATCTTTGAAAATCTCCGGTACTTCAGTCAGCGGTCACCAACCTAGCTGGCTTCCAGACTCCTGCTATTTCTCCTCCGCTAATTTTCCGAGAAAAACAATAGGTCATAAGATAAACATAATCTAATTCGAATTCACGGAACCAAATGAAAGGAGCTGTCAGACGAGGGAGATTAAACCACGTGCAGTTGCCCTGCTAGATTGCTTTGAAAATGGCAAATAGATCTGCGGAGAACACTTCTCAGGGGTACGTACTCTTTTGTGGATGTCGAGAATTCCATGAATGAATGCGCCCCAGATTCGTGCCCGCTCGTTCTGCGATTTGGTTCTTTCGTTGCGCTGTCGTCTCCTCGAGGTATATCGTTTGTTTATTGAAAAATATTCAAATTCGCAGCATGAAATTTGCAAAAAGTTGTTTTAATTTATATTTTATACTCTGTCATTCAAAAACAATTTCTTGTAATATGAAAAGACTCTATAGAAAAAAAAAACTACGTATGAAAGTTCTACCGATTGGACTTGGATGGAACAAATGTGGTCGTGTTACGACTAGCGCCCATTTTCCTAAACTTGAGTTACACTGGTTTGTAAATTGTATCTACTTGACTGGTAGCAGATGATGGAGTTTATGCGCAGAATTGGATACAACTGAGTTAAAGAGTTAACATTTGTAACACTGCTCTTTCGCCTGTCTTTCAAAGATCTTATGTCATACAAAGTATTCAGTCTCTGTTGTAAAACTAGAGTCGACCATATCTCCGGAATTTTTTAGGGCTTACTGTAAATTGCCAAACGAAACGAAACGAACTGAAAATATGAACATCTCCGTGGTGTTCTTGACTGAATCTTCACTACGTTCGCGAAGAGATCAATCGTCTTCTATATTTATAGGAAGGACTGCGCCATTTCGCCTTAAAATGCAAATCTCTAATTCAAATTAAAATTCCGTGAGGCTGTAGCTGTACAATTTCCAAGGTGTCAAGCATCGATGTTCGTTGTCGATGAATAATTCGATTGCGTGACATCAGACACCTTCCCTGAAAAAAATCGCGTGACTAAAGTTGGTTTGCAGCACGTTTCTGATTGAAAAATAATAATAATAAAAAGTTTTCGTCGAGGTCTCAGTAACAGTAATGGTCGTTCTGTTATCATTTGAATGATCTGTAGACTGAACTGACCGATTCATCCTTGAGGGGGGGCATTGGGATGTTCTATATTTTTTTAAGATCGGTTTTTGTGCTAAAGAATTTCGGTTTTTCGGTTTGGGTGTTCATTGCTGTTTGCGGATTTTCCGTTCTTTAGCATTTGGTTCTCGGTTTTCGTCAAAAATACCTGTCTAATGGGCTACGGATTTAGTTTCCGATGAAGTTTTCGGATTGTCCTATTTGGATTCCGTTTTCTCTCCGATCCAAGCGGTCATTATGCGCCCCCACTGATCTCGAATAGCCGCGAAACCTCTGTATGCTCCACATGTCAACACCGTATCGGATCGATTAGGGTTTTGCGATCTGGGATGTGAACGTTTATCGGTTTTGACTGTTTAGCATGCAGTTTTCGGTTCTGGTCGAGTTTTTTTTGCGGGTTTGCAGTTGTGGATGATTTTTTCGACAGCTTTGAGGTTTCTAATGGACCCTCTCATCCTTCCGTACAGTGGAGTTCCACACGGATTCTTGCTTTGCAAATTGAAAATCTCTCTTTCTAAAATTACAGATCTTCCTTTTCATTCTGTTCCATGTCTTAAATTAGAGTAGGCCTCGTTTAGTTATTTCTTTTGAAATGGTATGAGGAATTCTTTCAATTTTTTATTTTTAATTTTTCTTTTATTTTTCTGGAAATAAGTACTGTTGTCTTTCTCACTTCACACTTGAATTCGGGACAGAAGGTGAGGGGAATGTGGGCTGAAAGTTGGGGTGTCTGTGCCAGACAGTTTGATCCTGCCTTTTTCTGTATTATCATGTATTAACTTTTTAATTTTCCATTCCAGCATGAATTTTAGTGTTCTGTAACAGCTGTCTTTTCTTCTTGAATCCTAAAAATGTAACAAATTTATTTTAATCCAAATCAATCTTTGTAATTTTTTTTTTGAGATATGTTGACAGTTTTTCAATCTCAAAAATTATCAGTTAAGGTGCCCCATAGTTATCAAGGAGAGTCTGTTTGATCTTGGCTGTCTTCCTTCAGCTGTAAGTGAAATTCTGAAGTAACTTTCATGAAATAATGACATGAGAATTGTTTACAAGTTGCAATGATTTGATTTAGCGCTCTCCTTCCAGTAAGCACCCCCTCTGGAATAAGTGCCCCCCTCCCCCCTGTTTTAAGTCAGAAGGTTTGAAAGGTGATGCTGTTTTGCTAAAACTTCACCTGTAATTTCATGTTTGCCCGATTGATAATTATTATTACATGTGTTATTATTTTTAAGCTCGTAATTATTTTTATACTGGCCTTTTTCAAGCAAAGGGTCAAATCTGGACTTCAAAACTGCAATGGATATCCTGGTTTGCTGATGTGAGTACAGAATTGATTAATGGAGCAAGGTCAAGGCTTATATTGAAGGTAAGAAACATATAGTCTAATCATTGTGTACTTTTAAGTAGTTGTGCCTAAGTTGAAGTTACACCCAGGTACTTTTTTTCGAAAAAGTTGCTAGTAATACTAGACAAGGGGATGCGCTGCTGGTTTGGGTTGCATTTTCACGACTCTCTTAACTATAATGGGGTTACATTTTCAGTAGAGTAACAAGAGTGGGGACTAATACATTTTCATGATTTGGAAAACTTTCCTACATCAAAATAAGGATTTACAAACAGGAAGGTTCAAATTAGATTGAAATGTACCAGAATGTTAATGCACTGAGGATAAAAAGTAAAGTGTTCTAAATTCATGTAAACAAATGTGTTGCTTCATTTTAGGATCATGACCTACTTAAAATACTTGGTTTTAGCTAGATAGATGCATCTATAAACAGAAATCAACTAAGCTGGGATCACAAAAATTACATTTCTGGTAAAGTGACTAACTAATAGCAGGTGAGTTGCATAATTGGTCACAGGGTAGACTATAATGGGGCAGGTATTCTGAGAGGCCAGCAACACATGGGTAGATGGGATCACAAAAATAACACTTCCCGTAAAGTGACTCATTTAGCAGATGAGGTGTATAACTGGCCACAGGGTAGACTATGATGGGGCAGGTTTTCTGAGAGGCCAGAAGTATATATGCAGCAAAAATTGACCTAAAAACTCCCCCGCGCCTGATCTATCAGGAAATTGTGCCATTTCAGTCAGAATATGAACACGGAGTAATAATATGAAGCTTTCCCTTATTGAATGGGTTTAATGGGAGTGTATTTTTAAGTGAGCTATTTGGGTGCCACTGTTTTACCAATGTTTGTGTTGTTTCTTTTCAGACCATTTGATTTTTTAAGTGATTTTGGCAACAGATTCACCTTTGCTGTTATGTTTGGAGCCACTTCCAGCACATGCCTGAATATGTTTTTACAACCGAAAAATGGAATTTTTCAGATGCCTGCATGACCCAGCTGGATGGGTGCAGGTAAGTGGTCATACCATGGCAAACTGATTTTGAATAAGTTGAGTGTTTGTTTGTTTTGTTTTGCTCTGTTTCTCTCACTGTTGAAATCATTTTAGAGACTCTAGTAGGTATAGGTAAACTCAGTTGCCAATTAGGTCAGTATTAGTTTATGAACAAATTTTAATATAGCTATATGGAATTTAACAAACAGTTTAAATGACTAAAAGCAAATACATGTATGGTCAGTAGTGTTTTCAGGTGTTTGGTTTGTGTCTTAGCCAGTATTTGTTGTGTTCTGCAGAGTCTGCAGCAGTACTGTTGTGGATGTTAGGGCCTTTGGGCCATCCTCATCCAGCAGTATACCTCATCAGTGCATGTATTGTTCCACCATGTGCCCGTGTTGTGTAATTGCTGCTCTGTAGCATGGGATTCTTGTCCTTGAGGATAACGTCTCTTGGTGTTTCCTCCCCTCAAACCTTGAACTGCAGGGTTTCTTTTTCTGCAAGCTGCCACTTTAGCGTTGGGTAGGCCAGTTGGGTGTTCTAGCACCTAGGGGTGTGACTGTAGTTGCAGCTCCTGGGCCCCTTGGGCACCTAGCCTCCCTTTGTGATGTGGGTGTGAACTTGATATTAAGTTATTTATTTGGAATATTTAGATGGGCTGGCTCAGTTTGGCTGTGAAAAGCAGGTTTAAATGTGGGCCTCTATAAATGATAACAAGGCCAGATGACCACACTGGGAGCCACATTCATTACTTTGCTGCCTTTCCTTATACATCTATATGAGGCAGTTTGGAGGGCCGCAAAACTCCAGAACAAAAATTGTCTTTCAAACAGGCACTCTTAAGCCACATGCTGTCAACGAATGCTTTTCAGTCAGCTAATTTATTCTTGTTTTCTCATCTCCATATTCC